CACTTATCACTTGTGTCTTGGCCCATTGCTTGATTTTAAAGTTTTTAAAATATTCTGCTGACAGACAACAGGACTGGAAACACAACCACCTTAACGGAGGGAAAAACTATACTATTATATTTCTGGACAAACAAAGGTTGTCTTATAAAGTGGTACTCCACCCTATTTTGAGTATCAAACATTCACCATTTGAAAGATGGCTGCTAAAAGTAGTTTCATGTTTCATAGTCAGGATGTGGTCGTATATATTGTGGTCAACTTGACATCATTTCAGTTAAAATGGTTTCCAAAGAATCAAAACATCTATAAATAATTCTCTTTTCCATTGTAACCCATATTTTCAGCATGCCCCAAAAATAAATTACTTTGCCAAATGAAAAGATATTCTGCATTTCACTGGGCGCAACACAGACGCAGTGCATTTGGTGATATCTTTCTAAAAGCAACACTTTGAAATATACTAACACCAAACTATGGACATCTAGACTATGGATGTATTATAGTACTTGAAAACTTGCCACCATTGGAAGGTCATTGGGAGGTTGAGTGTAGATTTTGGGTGGAGTATCCCTTGCAGTATTCAGCAAGTGTTCATTTGCCAACCGAGGACTGCAAGCTTCACTTTTTTCAGACTGTGCACATACAATTTTGGAAAGAAAACGGTCTCAACATGCCATTAGTGTGAACCCTGTCACCACACACACACACACACACACACACACACACCGCACAACCATGCATACGACACCATACATGTTCAACAGAAACCTTTATAGATGTCAGGTTATTGTTAAGCACTAAGTATTACAGCTGTTACTATGAGAATGTGGTTGGTGTGTTGTCCCGACCACATCCTCCCATCACTTCAGAGAAGCAGTTTAACAAGAACTGAGGGCTCTGACTGACTATGTGAAACAGGCTGCCTTGTTAACACTGGTCCAACCCTTCACAACCGTCTCAGTGCAATATTCGATCAGTCATAGCTGTCAAGAAAGAAAATAGAAAATATTGGCATGCAGACAAAGGCCCAGCTTGCTGCATACCTGATTTGCCTGATATTGTTCAGATTAGGGTTGGGAGGTTGGGCCAGTCCATTGCAGGTTGTTTTTTCTTTTGTGTGTTTTATTTTTTTGGGTTGTCTAGGCCACAGCGGAGCACAACAACACAACAGTGGAAGGGTTTATTTCAACCAAACTAGAGCTTGTGATTGTTGGAACAGTGGAAAGACTAACAATGGCAGTTTTAGTGAGTTTTATTTTGTTCCTTTCGAGTTTGAATGAAGTGTGTTTTACGAGGAGTTAACGTTAGTCTTTGGTTTGGTGAAAAGAGAGAAACTTGGGATCCATTTCTCTGTTTAATAAGGAAAATGGGTGTAACTGTATTTCCTTTCTTGACATTTTGTCAGTTTATTTTGTTTATTTAAAGCTAAGAGAGCTTGTGGTACGTACAAACTCGACGCTCATCTCCGAGCTGAAAGGGGGCACTGCACACACACACCTGCGCAAATATGATCGGCAAACACCGGTTGTTGGGCTTACAGTGGCTGTTTGAAAAATTTAACATATGGCCCAACCCAAGTTCAGATAGGAAACTCTGAGTTTTGCCTTCACACAAGTACAAGTAGAGTGATTATGACATCATACTGTATTTTCACTTTCTCTGTCCAAAACCACATTTACTTATAATGCTTCTTAAGTTTTTCACATGACTTCAACTTATAATATATGTTCACTCTCTACATTATGAATAAAGTGTGTATGTAATATGGCAGTGTAAGTGCAAATAACTTTCAAGCCAGCCAATTCACAACATCATCTCTTACATGGTTTGTTACTGTATAGTTATAGTTATTATATTATTCAATTCAATTTTATTTGTATAGCGCCAATTCATAACAGAAGTTATCTCGGGACACTTTTCAAATAGAGCAGGTCTAGACCAAACTCCTTATAACTATTCATAATATAATATAGTTATAATTTTTTACTTTATAATGGACGATTTCTTTTGGGTGTCTTGACCTTGATTAAGAATTCCACTTCCTGCAGCAACTCGAACCTTGGGAACATTCCATGTTCTCTTAATGCTAAGTTAACGTGACATTCATTTTTGGCTGCAACTTATCGGAAGCCATCATCTCCACTGTGACTCACTGCATGTTTATCCATCTGTGTGCCATGTTGCTAAGCAAACGACACCAAATCATTTCACACTGACCCGCTGTGCATTTCACTTATTTCTTATGCCTTGTCATGAAGGCTTTCATTGTGTAGTCAGATATGGCACTTAATTGAAATTAGGTCATTGAGCATTTCAAAATGATTTCTTGTCTGCATGGATACCTTGGCACTGGACCACCATGGAGAAACCTCTGGACCAGTTCACTAAATTGGAAAGGGGCATTAATCTTGACAGGAATGTGTTATATAAAAGAAGCCCTCCCCTGTCTCTTCTACAACAATAAGTTTTGAGTTGAATCCAAAACGTCTTCAAAAAAGGAGTCAAAAATCTATTGACATTTCCCTTATTCAAGTAAGTGTGCACATGTTTCGACAGTGTCCATAGATCACAGGAGTTGACATCCCACTGAAATAAATTGCACACAAATGGCCCGGGAAGTGAGAGAGGTCCTTGTGTAGTGAGAGATTACTTGGAACTTTACAAGGCAGAAATGTCAATATTGCCCCCATCAATCTCAAGGCAGAGGGCACGTCAAAGTTCAACACTCACAATGTGCCAAGAATGTGTTGCCTGTAAAACCTGCAGACCAAAAGGTAAGCAGTTGACCCTGTGCACTGTCAGAGAATGTACCCAAAGCAGGGAAATATTGATTGTGGGCATGGTCATAAACGATTAAGCCACCAAATTCACTCAAACACATCAGACACTTGCCATTTGAAAAGTGCTTCTCAACAAAAAACCTTAAACTAGCTCATGCATTTTAAATCTTGCTGGCCCTAGAGGGAATGAAATGTCTGAGTCTGACTACTAATTTACTGACCTCTAAAAGTCAAATGTAAACAACGTCAAAATGAGAGGCATACGTTTCTGACATGTCTTTCAGGACACATTTTTGATCTAATGTTCTGCAGGGGTAGAGTACAGTTAATGTGAAGAATAATGTAATAAAGAATAATGAATCCTTTGTTCAGTATAGCTAAGTAACTCTTCACCATGTTCAAACTTGTTCCTTTACAGTGTTATGGCTGACGTGACAGCTACAGCAGCAGAGGCAACACTTACATTACAGAGTTGCTGACATTAGCTGCAGAGAAGGCTTTCAACATACAGTAGATTGATGCAATGTCAGGAAGTGTAATCGTCTTTGGCCCTGCTTAAGCAATCCTCCAAAACATCCACACCCATGAGATGGAGTTAACTCAAATGCAAAGCTTTAGACTAAAAGTCAGAATCACAATGAGTCTTAGACTAAATCGTTTAGAAACATTAATCTGTTAAAGGTTTGATTGTTCGTTTGCAGATGCCTCAGAAACATGCACATGTATGCATTTCAGCAGCCGTGAGAGCCTCCAGAGTCAGCACCTGGAGCAGGTTAAGACTTGGGTGTCTTGCTCAGGGATTTTCTTGGACTACATGCAGTATATTACTTTTCCAGCACTATGAGATTATTATCGTGTTCCTCGCTACAATTCTTTGGAACAGCGTGCAATACTATAATACCTTAATATTAGTCTGCATGTATGTATTATTAGTCTGCACATACGTGAGGTCAACATTCAGTAGCCCTGCATGCTATTATTGGGAGTCACTGTGACTGTCATTCTACAATATCTGCTTAGGGACTTGATAGTGTTATGAAACCAGCCGAATTGCTTCAATACTATCGAGTATTGAAAAATGCCTCGTCATTACCAGACTTTGATATCTAAAGGGTAAATCTCATCAACGTTAGAGCACCAATAAGCATGCTGCAGGTTAACTGCACTAACACAGAGTTAGTAAGATGTCTCTCACTGCCACTTTTTCCCAGTACTAAAAACGTCACCCTTCCACACAGTCCTTCCCTTTATATTCTTCCTTAGATTAGACGCTACAATGGCATATTACCTCTACTCTTTGTTATTAATGTTCCTTTTGACATTTATATGTTATATATTTATATTTTTGATATATTCCAATACTGTACGGGTATTTGAACAGCTTCTTTTAAGTGAGTAATTTTCTTTTATTAAAATTAATTTTACAAAATGTGTATTGTTCAGTATTTAAATCAAGGTATTGGTACCAGTATCGGACATTTTTGAATGAAACCCAGCCCTATATATACACTGCTGTTCACTTTATGGACACTCTTGCTATTGCTAGTGCAATCATTTATTATTATTATAGTATTATAGTTATATACTGCGTTTGCCACTCTCTTAAAAATCCATGTGCAATCTCTTTTTGTCATTTTCAATATCTATCAAACATATTTGTTTATGCCTCTATATTAGTATGAGCATGGCACCTTCAACCACATGCTTCTTACTGTACGTACGAGTTGTGCATATACTATTTTCACTATTTTACACGTGAAATTTGAATGCTTTATTCCTATTCTTCTCTTATTCTTATTCTGTTGGTGTAGCACCGAACAATGAAGACCATCTTCTATCACCCTGACTCTTCGGGCATACACAGACAGCATAGCTAGATAACTGGCATTCAGGATAAAATAAGGAGAAGCTCTGCTGCACAAATCCTATGCAAAATACTAAGACGAAGTACAGGATGTGCTTCTAGTGATCACCATCACTGGCCTGTGTTGTGAAAACCACCTATGTCACTGGCATGTTATGTGCAACCACGTTACAGGCAAGGTGAATTGAAAAGCAGCCTAAAGATGTATACAAAACCGAGGAACTGGAGCAAGGTGGGGTGGTGGGGGTTTGCATTGTAACTTCACTAACACCATATGTTTCAGAGTAGACGTGCAACCTAGCTCACCGGAATGAATGACATAACACACACGAGAGTCTTAAACTTCCAATGTTTACCTTGATAATGCTGCTCCTGCGTGGTATTTCGGATTTGGCATCCAATCCGACAGAGGTGTTGGCGGTTTCCACTCCGGCTTGGCTGCCAGGTGCGACGACAGATCCCGAACCGACCATATTTTCTGATATCCCACAGTCTCCATTCAAGACCGACACTTCGCAATGCGTCTTGCCAGCTGCTTCGTCGCTGGGCACGGCCGTATCCCCAAGATTCAATGGAGGCAGGCTGCTGTCCTCCCCAAACTCCGCCATAGGCACTTCGAGCACCACACAACACACACACACACACACACACACACACACAAGCTGGCAAGCTGTTTGGTAGCAAAGCCTTATGTTTCAGCTTTACTCCAATTTCCTGCCTGGCCTATTGCCTCGTTGTAACATTTGCACGCAATTCTGCCATATCATCTCTCGGTGCACAGATCTACCAGGTTCCTACAGACAGAGGGGCTTGTTCCGTGCATTGTTCTGTCTCTCTGTAACAGAAAAAAAAAAAAAAAAAAGGACAAGAAAAAACCCACAGCGATTAGCGTAATTAGGCAACCTGGCGTTAAGTAAGAGCAGTTGCGGTAATAGTAGCAGCTATGTAGCGATGTGCAGCCATATGAAAGCGTTCAGCACTCACATTGCGTTTTGCACTGAAAGCGGATGTTAACTTACAATCAGTGAAGGCTGTCATCGTAAATGCAGCATGATACAAAAAAAAAAAAAAAAAACCGCATACGTGCTTCCCTTGTGTGTTCCCCTTTTTTTTATTATTTTTTTTTGTTGGTTTTTTAAAAGCACATTTCCACCGTTTTCCATCCCCTAACAGACCAACCCCTCACTATGTTGCATTGTACCGTAACCCACCCTTCAGTTTTAGCGGTGGTCGGTGCAACGTTAAGTTAAATAAACACTAAAAGCACGTGAGGTTGTCGCTTCAATCCACTCGCCCCGCAAAACTAAACACTTATCTCAATGTGTGTTACTTGCCTTTGTTTTTGTTTTTGTTTTTTTTTTTTTTTTTTTTTTTTTTGGTTGTACTTGCCGTGTCACTCCATTGGGGGAAGGACCGTCTTCCTTTTTTCAAGTTGTTGCCGCAACTGAGCTGCCAGACTACCGTGGGCTGAGCTAGTTAGCCCCAGATAGCTAACACCCCCACCCCCACACCCACCCTCCACCATCCACCCTTCACTCGCTGGCTGGCTGGGTGAAGTTAGTTTCCACAGAAACTAGTCAAAAAAGTCCAGTGAGTGCGACTCGAGTTGTAAAGTCTGGCAGGAGCACAAAGGAAGAAATCCCCCTCTCTCTTCTATCCACCGTCAGTCAACCTCGACAAGTATTTATTCCGTTGTTCCGTGATTTTCTTTGGGTTAGATTGTGTCCCACACACACAGACACAGACACACACACAGTTTACCTTCTTCGTGTCACTCACAAAGTCTCTTCCACAGAACAAAGTTGGGTATGTCCCGTGAACGCGCCACGGGCAAAACAGGCTGTGGTTGTCAATCAGAAGATAATTATTTATTTATTTTACCGGCAGACAAGAAACGCCCCCTTTTTTTTTTTTTTTTTTTTTTTTTACTTTTCTGCAGAGCAAATAATGACACACATAGTTTTGATTTTATTTATATCAAATAGACACACACACACACATATATATACATATATATATATATATATATATATATATATATAAAAGTTATATTCCAAGGATGACAAGGTGGTAAGGGGTTGGGAGGGGTTACTCTAAAAATGTAACCTAATCCAACTATCACATTATTAAAGTAAGGTAACTTGATTACTTTTCCATTACTTTACCTCAACACCAAATAGGCTGTGCAAATAAAGAGGAGAAAAGAAATGTCAATAAGTAGTGTTGGTTAAACTGTATCATATGAGACAACAGAACAATGTAACCCTTTAACCAGCAGCCAAAACCAACAGATATCAGTTCTCCTTTATACCCTCTGCTATTTATCTGCTCAGCTCTTTATAGTACGGGTAACATCAGCATATCTCCAGCCATTCCTGTTCTGTCACTAATGGGTTACCTGTTATTTGTTATGTGGTTATGTATGGGTGGCTGCTCCCTTTTTATCCATATGTCTCTCCCTGTGCTGCTGTCACTGTTGTTGTTGTCGTGTTACATGCTGCTGTAATATTAATTGCCCCTCGGGGACAAATAAATGTCTTGAACTTTAAAAAATGGAAACCAATAAAAACTGAAAGATTTTTAGCATGAAAAGTGTCCTCCTTAAAAGCTGATTTTAAAATTGTAACCCTGCTAAATAATCCCCATGTTTTACTAAATGTAACTCTACAACCTTTCTTCTTGTTCTTCTCTATACTGTAAATATAGCTGCTTGTGGTATTAGCTTTATTCAGAAGTTACATATGTGGTCTCTAAAGGGCAGCATTATCTCCCAGATAGGCTCACATGACAGTTGTTTTTTTTGTTTTAGAGTCACGTTGTGTGTCAGGTCTTCCTCTTTATGAGGACAGATCACAGAGACAATGGACAGATCCCAATGATGAAGTAATACTTAGCCTTTTGTGTGCTGTTGCATCCGGGGTTTTTCTTTTGTGATAATGACACACACAGTAACCTATGTGTGACCAAACAGAGTCATCACAAATCATCAATTCTTGGAGATGACCAAGAGCTTTGAAATATCACTCGCACATTGAAGAGCACATACCTTACATGTAGTTCATATAGCCTCATACTATAGTATCCCGCATAAGAGACGCAGATAGTGAGTGATGAGGCGTGACATTGTTCCACATGATTTAATGCATTTTATTCATAGGCCACTGGTTCAGATGAAGGAAGATATAGTGTGGTATACTACACAGGAGCAGGCAGTACGGTGAATTGTAGGACAGAGCCATCTGCTGGTCTCCAAGAGTTATGCTTTTTTTTGGGTTGTTGTGCAGTGCAGATTTTCTTATTATCCTCTTTAAGTCTTCTTCTAACATTACAGTGCTAGTCAAAGTTCATATTTTTAGGCACATTCTAATATCTATGGCAGTGATTTTCAGCCTTTTTGGCCTGTGACCCCTCAAAACAAGCAATGTCTACTTGTGACCCCTGGCTGCCCGTTGTGCATATTTCTCCATGTTGTGAAAACTTCAACAAAAGAGTGTTTTTTTTCTGTATTTAAATATAGAGGCCTAAAAAGTCTGAAAGAAATATGCTATTTCTGGTTTCTGTCCTGTTAACTTACTTGCAACCGTTCAGATTCATCATACAACCCCTCGTGGGGGGTCATTGTGACACAATTATATAGCACAGTTGTTAATTTATTAAGTGGTGATATTTAAAGAAATACCAATTGCACTGCAGGCTTGACAGCAAATGATTCAAGCTGATGAAGATACCAGTGCTGTGGAGATTTTTACCCTACTTGAATTCATGCATCATTAATGTTTGTTATATCAGCATGAACAAGGGTAGCTGCATAAATTATATGCCTAGATATACTGTAGCATACAGTGGTTTTATTAAAGCCTTTTCACCAAAAACAGCTGTCTGTTGCTGCTGGAAACGTCACTAATGAGAGTGATCCACAACAGCTGAGGGTTGTAAAATCAACCTGCTTTTAGTCTATACACGGTGAAAATAAATTGTTTATTTTCTTTAGTGATGTTAGTGGCACTGTGTCACAGTCAACCTGATCAGCGTATCTTCAAAACAGTATGCTCTCCAACTCCGCTGAATGCTCTGTTTTCCATACGTCACCATACAGATGGATAAAATCATGAAATATAACAATACTGATTCAAGCTTTAATGTCAAAGGCGCAGCCCACAGTTGAAACGTAGGAAAAGTGGATAATAAATTGACCCTCTATATATGTAAAGTCAAACCTTTCTTCAGTTATAATAAAATAGTTATTGAGAATATCGAGAGCTGAATCACATCCAATTGCCAAACTAAAGCATTGAGAGCATTTTTCACTTTCATTTTAATGTAGTTCTTATATGACTATATTGATATTTATATAACACATTATGCAATTCATAATGATTAGAAGAACATATCCCCCTAAACATATGACAAGGCCCTGCAGGTTAAGTGTAATCCAACATGATGTGCATGCAACACTGGGAATATTCCTCAAAACTCACAAAGCCTTTAACTGAAGGCAATCAATACTTAACCAGATCTTTCCAGACACATGTTCTTTGCTTGTGTCGTGGCTATAAGCTAACACAACATCACATCACAGTTAGAATATCATTGCTTCATAGATAGAATGACAGAGAACCAAACAAATATGTCAATAGTGTGGACATTTTAAATCAATTTAAAGAGCTTATCTTTATGCTATTGGAATGATTTCATTGTGGCATTTGCATGAAGCAGGACACCACACATTCACCAGGGCATTGCTGCATCCAGTCGTGTTTTTCAAGGTTGGACAGTTGATGTATTTGTTTATGTAAGGACAGGGGTTGGCTGAAATGAAGAACAGACAAAACAATGAAGAGATCAGCTTCTTTTTTTTCATTTTTACCTTGATAGACAATCCTTGTAATATACATCCTAGCTGCCATACAAAGAACCCACAGTGTGTATATGTTACTTACTGCAGAGTTTGTCATCACAGTTATTGGGACAGGAAGCACACGGGGGTCCAGCCTTATAGGGTGGCCACCTCCTGAAGTTGCCTCTGTTAATCAAATTAGACACATTGACTTCACACTAACTTCTGATTGAATAGATGGACAGTTTCATAATTCATTTTACTGAACGACTGTTAAGCTCTCCCAGACATCACATGTGAAACAAAGTCATGGAGGGTAAATGAGGGTCACATACGCTCGATAGTAATGGCAGCCATAGAAGTAGATGTTGTTAGGGCACAGTGTCACTCCACAGCCAACTTTGTAGGAGCTGTTCCACACCACCTGACGACGAAAACAAAAAGTAATTGTTTTCAGTGCCACTTTAATTAGGAAACTGCTAAATAGTTAGGCATCCTCATTGTTCAAACACTGTAATGACTCATGTTTTGTTTTTTAAATATCTCATTGTTGTCAGCTCTTAAACAGAAAATACATTTGGTTGTATAAGTTTACTTGTAGTGAAAGTGTGAAAATTGATTTCAAAAACTGCCTGTTTGTTTTTGCTAAAAAAACCCATAAATATATCTTCACAAAACACAATACTGTCTAATGAATAATGTTCATGGTGGTACAATTACTGCTTCTTAAAAAACGGTATCTCTCCAATTTGTTTTAAAGAATATGAATCCTTTGGTGAAAGTAGGATTTGTCACACTCATTTTGGCAATTCACCATAAAATGACTATTTAAGAACAGGAAAAAGGCTCCTTAAATGTCATGAAATAAAAAAATATCATGCAGCTAGAGAGAGATAAAATACACCACTGGTAAAGCGCAGAGGGAATATAAGTCCTTAGGACTTGCGATGTCCCTGCCATAACTAACTAGCTTTTGGACACTTGTGGGTAGCAGAAACAAACTGTGAACATTGACCATCATCTTTTAAGTTGATACCTTGAACTTGTTAGCAAACAGTTTCTTACTTACACATCTAGCAGATATGGAGCAACATTAGCATTGATTTGGAGTCGTGTGTCTGGTTGCTGCAAGTCTAATACTCACTCTCCTTTTAGCTAATTTACTCCTGAGAGAAATGGCTTTAGCGGCTGTTGTTTGCTTCGTTGTAGAGCTTTTTCACTGAAAAAAGCGACCTCTTGCAGCTGAAAACATTGCTATGAGATCAGTCCATCAGAGTGTACAAAAAACAGTAAAGTTACGGGCCGAAAAACAAAAAAAATGAGCTGAAAGGCGCTAAATCGATTTTATTTTATTTTTTTTACAAGTCGTCATTTGATCCATTGTTAGTATAAAAATATTGATTATACGTAGCTTTTAATGCTTTTAATTTAAAAAAGTAAAAATCCAATAACAAAGCATCAACACTGCGTGACAATATAGAAACATGCTTTTTGTTTATCTTAAAGATAACACAATAATCTTTGTCAACACATTATTTTTACCCTAGCAACAGGTACATGTTACCTGCGTGTAGTGACCAGTAGCTTGGCTGTTGGTGGAGCCTCTGGGATACTGGTAGTGTGACACCTCACTGTGCCAGGCATTGATGACGTCCGTCCATGAGTAAGGTGAAGATGAATAGAACAGATTCTCACCCAATTCATATCCTGCTCGTTGGTGAGAGAAGAATGGCAGCGCTGATTAATGAGTGTCTGCAAATACACAGTTTTATTTTCATGTCCCAGTAGATTAAGTTATTAAGATAAAACATTGTTTCAATAAAAGGCCTATCGATGATAATCTCTGTTATGATAACATATCCCACTTCCTCGTAATTTGTTATTAAAATAAGGTATTAAGACTGGAGATAAGATAATGTTCACTTTTACTCTGACCATCAATCACAAGGTCAGTCAGTTCACAGGAAACCTTTACACTGACTTGACATCTCTGAGGCATTGTTTTAGGTCCTGGCATATGCAGAGAAAAAGGTAAAAGGGAAACAGAAGAGAGAGAGGAGGAATAAAGGACGAAAAAATATACCATTGAGCATGCGGGTACTGGGTGCTCCATGAGCCAGAACACATTTATCAACCCAGGCCTGAGCACTGGCTGCTACCTCCTCACTATAGCTCTATAAGAGAGGAACAAGACAAAAAAAATCAAATCAAAGAGTTTCATTTCAAACTGGCATCCACAATGTAGACCCATTCTCTCTCAAGATATTGGTTTTGAAAACTGTATCCTTTGTGATTTGAAAGACTGATCAAATTTTTCAAAATATGTTTGACTCTAACTCTTAAAATATGAAAAGGTTGTGGTTGAAATGGTCTTCCTCTTTGAAACTAGTTGGTGTGCTTTTCTTTATACAGCCCAAAACTGGATTCCAAGATAAACATGAGATTTTTCTTTTTACTTTTTTGCAGAAACCTTACACCTCCAGACATCCAGCTCTTTTGGAAAGGACATAAATCATCTTTATTCTCTTGTTGACTGACAGATTTTCATGTGTACAATAGATTTGTAGCGGTTGGGCTTGGCTCCCTACATTAAATAGATTAGAAGTTTGATTAGATGTTGATTAATGAAATGAATTACCATTCTTATTACTTTTCACTCAACTGTAATAAATGTAAAAATGACATTTTAGAGTGATTATATTTGTCTATGACAGACCAAACAGTAGTCAAAACATATTTTCACATTCCAAATGGCATTTATACATCATTTGTAACATCTACAATTTATGGTTTTGACACTTTAACTATTCAAGGGAGTTCAGTGCATCGATTAAGTTTGAGTCACCTCTTAATCACCAAACTATACAACCCCGATTTTGAAAAGCTGCTTATGACTTTTATGATTTTCAGGCGTCCTGCTGAAGACCTCACCCACTTTATTGTTTTATTCCTTCCCACAGATGAGGGAAAATAAATGCTGAGAACTATTAGCAAATATTATCTGACCCACTTTTATTGTGCGACTAGAAAGCAGGACTGACCATTATCAGCATGTCAGAAGCAGTAGGCTGAACCGCTCTCCTGAAGGCATTGTGCTTGTCAACGATCTCAGCCTGTGCCGCTGCGTTTTCTGTGCAAATGTCTGCACGCACACAGACACACACAGACATAGACACACACTTAAAACCAATGGGTAAACAACAGATTAAGGGCATAATAAAGGGTGATATTTACTCTGGTGGCTTAATATCCACGTTATGACTCACAAAACCTATCCTGGTTTAATTACTCTGAAATGGCTTGACATAACAAAAGAACATACAGAATGGATTGTACCAAATCCCATAATCTTATTGAGAGACTTATTGGTATGGTCTCGGAGGTGCTGGAAAATTCCTCTGTAAAGTTAAACATGCCTGATGAATGTAACATTGTGCTTACCTTGCTGTGGAGACACCGTGGCATGCAGAAAATCACATAAAAGATAAAAATGTAAGTTCTCATCAGTAAATCAGGGGAGTGAAAAATAGTAAAATGCTTTACTTTTTTAGAAGTATTTGTACAGCAATGTAAATACACTACATTAAGAGCAAAGTCAGGCATTGAACATGTTACTTAACTTAGATAAAAGGTTACTTTACTTGAAACTAAAGCAAACATACTTTCCAGCCTATATGTACTGTATACCATATCGTATTACCACGTCCTATAATATTCTAAAACTTGTTTACACTTCTACGTACCACAACGCAGGCAGAGTGCACATGATGCAGTGTCAGGATGCAAATCAGGAGTGCAAACATTTTGCTGCACAAAAAGGTAGAGATGCCTATGTACAAAAGCAAAATAAAATTACTGAAAAATACTTACTAAGACATTTTCCCATGATATTTGTTCCAGTTTTTATTACTATTATTATTATTATTAGTAGTAGTTTGTTATATTATTTTTATTTTAATTAATCTTTACATTTTGAAATTGAACATCAATTAAAAAAGTAAAAAAGAAAATATATAAATAAGTAAAATAAATCATTAAATGAAAACATACAGTTTAAAAAAGGAAAGTGTTGCTGTTGGCTGTGTTCCCCCTCTTGAGTGCTAGATATTTTCCTTAGATGAATTAATGCGTATCATCAAAAGATATATAAAAAAAAATTCTTGAATGCCTTTAGGAACCTCTAAACTGAGAGGCATACCTGCTCATTGGTCTTCAGGAGGTAGAGGTGAGTTGGCACTTTCGTCTTCCTCCTTTTATAGACCCAGGTCAGATGCTCACTGTAGTCTGAGATGAAGCACATTCCCCTCCGGCTGCCAATGATGGCGCAGTATCCAGGGCTTTACACAATGAATACTGGACAAAAACAAGTCTATCAAGCAGCACTGAAGAGGCTTTTTCTTCAAAAGAGTACAACTGACAGAGAGTAAACAAGGAATTGTTAAGCCCTAGGGTGTAGTGACTTCTTGATGTGTTGGCTCAGGTTTACACAGCATAGAATAGAAAGGTGCACGAGGCCGAGGTAAATAAAAGAAAAGGAGCATTGGTAGATTACAAGATAGATCCGTATGGTCCTGTATGTAAATGGATTACACTAATACAGCTCATGTGGGCTGAAGACGCACCCATTGCTTGCTTTGGCTCACAGAGCAAATTAATCAGAAAGGCGATTTAACCAACAATAGGTGAAAGGAAAATGTTTTATGCGTTTTCCCATATTTTAGTTTGAGTGATGTGTATCATCATGAACAGCAAGTATAGTAAATCTGTGTGTATGTGGATGTGGCCCGCTTCCTTACATAAAGCAAACACAGAAAGATGCAGAAAGGTTGTCTTTGAAGCAGCAGCACAAGCTCTGAGGTGAAATGTGAGATAACATATCTTAAATGTTATATAACCAAGAAATGAAATGTAGGACTTGTTCCTAACTTGGAAAGGTTATTTTAAAAATAGAGGTCATTAAACAAAAGGGATCATTTGAATGAGGAAGAACATAACTTTCAAATGAATAAATTCAGTTGTGCTACACTGAAAAACCTGGTTATGAAAACTTTTGAACTGTTTCATTGAGTCTTTCCTTAGAAAAATCTTAAAAATGAGGTATTTAAAGCTGCTCTAATCAATATTACTATATCAACAATGGATAAAATGACCACGTGTAATGCAAAACTGTTGCTTATTCTGAAAAACCCAGAGAATTATCACCCATTTGCTCATTTGCAACATTTTAGTGTCTTTCAGCTCATTGCTTTGGGTTTTGGTTCACTCTCAATCAACCTTGTTTCCTGCCTTAGAAAGGAGCTGTTTTAATTGAAAAACATTCTTATAACCCTACTGTACACTACTTCCCAGCACCAAATGGAACATAGAACATTGTAAAGACCAAAGACAGAGCTCAAAGGAGAATTAATATTCTGGCTTACATTTACATCAGGAGGCTTGACCTACAAATCCAAATGCATGTTAATGTTTCTCTGTGTCAGCTGAGCAACCGTTTGCTAACACATTAGGCACAACAATGTTATATGGTGATAATATGTTAATGTAAAATAAATGAATGCTGCTTTAACCATTCTAAAATCCCTAGATAAAAAACTAATTTAAACTACAAGATTGCCAAGATTATCTATATGTGTGAGTATATCATACTCATTTCGCCCATTAGCCTACCTGAAATATTTCATTTGTATTATTTGGACATTCTAAATACAGTACAGTACATGGAGTAGTATTTATATTTTATTTTACTTTTAAAATTATTTCCTGGAAGCAAAAGGAAGGATTATGTAGTTTGTCTAAAGATTAAATAAGAAACCACTTGGATTGCTGATATACTGAAACTACGTGTGAGCAAAGTAGAATTTTATCTTTGGAGCGACATTGTACGTTCAGAACATAACACATTCCTCTCTGTTGATTCTTGATTGTGAGTCTAAATGCACAATAAGCATTATGCTGCTATCGCCTCTTTGCTAAATGCATCATTGTGTAATTTGTTATACAGTACAATGGGTCGTGGGAGTCAAACAGTCTCAGTGGTCAAAGAGTTCTACTTGAGCTTGCGTCATGTTTTTCACGTTTTTAATGTTTTTTTCGTTCTTATGAACTATACAGAGATTAATTTCAGAAACCTTTTCTTCTATTCACCATTGTTTAAAAGTATCCTGAGCAATATGACTGTGAGTATGTACTCCTTATGAGATGGGGCCTTTTTTTTCCACGCTTGGAAGTTTAAGTGGTATTCAGTTAGCTGCAATTTAGTAACTTCACTGCTAGATGGCGCCAAATCCTACAAACTGGTCTTTCAGACGCTGAATTTTCCATTTGTAAAATTTCAGTCTTGGTTCCAGTTTTATTTACCTGTTTAAATGAAAACTGGTGTCCAATTAAAAGTGTTCAGATTTAACCAAAAAGCTGGCGTGTAGATGTTTAGCGTCTTAGTTTACCATGTTTAAATGGCAATATTTGCTAGTTAGTAGCCTAGTAAACATGAGTATAGCTGATGCTGATGGGAATGTTATTAGTTTTGCAAATACTGTATCCATATGTGATCATAACCCAAGCTACTTACAAGTATGACCATCGAGGTAAGAGATCAACTAAGGACACTTCCCTGTCAGTAGTTCTGCTATACACTTCAAAGACGTCAATATTCAGACAGAGTAGTTCAAAGAAGCACTTGCGACGTAGCTGTTTATTGGAACTTCTAATTTTTGATTACATCTTGTCCTTTTTTAGTTTGAATGCACTTATTGTAAATTGCTTTGGACAAAAGCTTCTGCCAAATGGATTAATGAATGTCCATCCAATACCTACTGAGATATTTCCCTCAAAACCACAAATGTAAACCTCATGGTGACACTAAAGGAAAAATAAATGGATCACCAAAACAATTGGGATTCATCCTGTGAACATTTTGTGCCAATGCAGCAGTTAGATGTAGCAATATTTTAATGGATAACTGAAAACACTGACCTTGGGATGGTGCTAGGGATCGGGATGGTAAATTTCTCTACATAACAGTCCATCCAATAGTTGCTGAGATATTTCAGTTTGGAACAAAGTGGTGGACTGACCAACTGATAGACAGATGGACATTGCTAGCATGGCAATAAATCAAGATATCAAGTTTGGTGTAAGTCAGATTGCGAGTTATCTAATAAAGCTACAATGTGTGTGAACCCAGTTCCATATAAAGTGTAAAGTAGCAGTACAATACGAAATGCAAACTGCAGTGAGTTTGCTCTCCACTGTCAACAGTCTATGCGATGATGGATATCTTGGGTGTAGTACTTTATGTACCAATGGCTTTGTATACATTCAGATATGGTTTTCTTGGAACAAAAACTCTTACTATTGTATATGAGTGAAGGCACACCATTTAAAGTAATAGTAGCCATTAAAGAACAGAATGCTAGACAGCCCTTAGTACAGCTACAGGCGGACACCCCGGGCAGGAAACTGACAGCCTAATGCAACATGGTTTGGTGGAAATTATGTGAGAAAAGGTTAAAGTCTGTAGTTGGAATCTTTTCTTGTTCACTCCTGTTGCTTATTTCAGGTATCTAATCATTGGAAAAAAGAAAAATACCACTGAATGCGCACTGCCCAAGAATCATTCAGCTGACAGGTTCTATTTAAAAAGCAAATGAATAATAAAATAGGTGTATTGATACATTTCAAAAAACTTAAATTATAAAGTAGTTTTTCTAGCTTCATACTTTCACCATAATTATGTAAACAAACGCTATGTTGCAAACATTTGACATTGACATTTTGACATAAGAATAGATGAATAGATAGATGAAAATAGAATAGAGGAATCTCTTTTTAAAAGTTCTCTTGTGCTAGTGCTAATACTAGTCTTTAGCCTCTTTGTATTTTACCACAGAATGCTAAATCTAATTTGCTAATCTACTTGAGCTTTGCCCAAAACCACTTTCTCATTCAGTCATTCATTACTGTCAGTGTCACATAACTATAATGTTCACATCTATCAAGGCATTGCAAACATTAAGTAAATTAGTGTATATGCTATGAATTCTGTTTTTCATTTCATTGTGGGAACACTATAGTGCAGACATTTTACACTGAAATGTGCACAGTCAACAAATTGGAGGAGAATTATTACAGTGCACAGGTAGCAAATAAAGATTGATTTAAGCCACGGCCTTACTTCAAGTTTCTGTTTTGTATCTGATGTGTGATTCACCACTTGAGTTTAATAAAAAACAAAACAAAATCACAGTTTATCTGAAAGAGATTTTATTGTTTTCTCTTGGTAATAGTCCCTGATTCAAGTGGTTATTTATTTTTTCAATTATTGGTTCATCACACAGGGACATACATTCCAAACAAAAATAAAATAAATATGACTGTAAATGCACCAGAGTCAACCAAAAGGAACACTAAAAAAAGATACAAAATTAAAGCAGTTATTGCAATAGGATATACACAGAGCAATAATAAAAAGGGGATGTTAATGTTAGTAAAGATAATGTGTACCATGCAGAACATCACAATCCTCCATTGTCAGGTACCTATTGAAATGTGCAACACAAAAGAAAATAACACGGAGCAAGAAACATATACATTAAAAATAAAGACACAATAAAAAACAGGCCACAATAAAAGACAATGTGTGTTCATGTTTGACTAATTTTAAAAAGCTCACTTTCCACACTGAACACTGGGGGGCACTGTCACATCTCTAGTCACAGAGGAGCTATGGTGGCAGCTGAAGTCCAGTGACAAAACACAACTGTGCTCTTTGTATCAAACCATAGACCTTGTGATTGAACAATGTTATTATTTTACAGCAGAATGAAGAGACTCATTAAGGTTCCCTAAATAATATGTTTTGTTCCACTCACACTTCCATCCAATCATCTGTTGTCCTCATTCACTCATGAAAGACGGATGCTTACCAGCTTGCACAAATACTATGCTTGGCTGCCCATCTTTATAACTCGTCTCACATTAGTTGTCCCATTTCAGTTGTCCCACAGTTCTCCAGCGGGAAAATATCAGCCATTCAGCAGCGTGCCCTTTGTCGCTGTTTTAGGAGTAAGGTCAAGTTTCCATAGAACACTAAACACGCACAATTTGGACCTAAACAATAAACCCACTGAAGTGTAAGATTTGAAGATGACATAATGTAAATGTCTTTTTTTTTATCACATATGTATGTTTTAAATTCTTGGCATGTGTTGTAGCTAGCATCCAAAGCTAAAGCATGTTGGCAATTACACTGTGGGTGATCGTTACGGTCATTCAAGCCTCAGCGCCTGTCAAGATGGCTTCAGCATTTTGGCATGTGTTTGATTTCCCTCAGTGTAAAAGGTTGAAAAACCAGTCAAGCGTCCACCCAACGTTAACAATTTCACTTTCTTTTGTTATTTAATTCCAATCTCTGGTCACTCCATGGGTGCTTCAAAGATATGATTTGCCAGACTGACTCTTTCCCTTCCAGCCCTAAACCTTTTTCACTTGAAGGTGGTCTAGTGCTGAAAAATGCCCTTCCAAAACCAGACGCACGTTGATACGTGTTGGCAGTTTCCGCTGGTGCTTTCAGGAAGGGTGATTAAAGTCTAATGGGGCTCCTGGTGTGACAGCAAACAGAGGCAGGAAATCGCCATTTCTAAAAGAGACATATCATTAATTTGCGGCCTCGAGTTAGATTCTCGTAACAATGTCTGAGCGACACAATGAGGGCTCTCTTTGAAAAGGCTGCTACCACCCTGGCAAATGAGCGAGTGAATCCCCTAATAGGCTAAAAATGACTTTGAGAAGAGCTCAATGTCATGATCACACTGTGTAGGGCAAGTAAGTCTAATCACAGAACGTGGAGCTCTTCACCGGTAATTATGGCAACTCATCAAAAACCAACTCATCTTTAGTCTCTGGGTATTCAGCTCTTGGTATTCCTCAGCCTATGAACATCATTTCTATTTGCATTTCATCATTTGACTCAATCTATGCTTTTTAGATATTTACCGCATTTGAGGAGGATATGCTTTCAGTCGCATTTTTTGTTAGATACAATTAGATACAATTATTTTTTTATTATTTTAAGGGTTTCTTGACATTGTAAAATAGAGCTTAAAACATTTTCACAATTGTTTTGCTTATAAAGGAAAGAATATAGGTAAATGTATTAGATAACTGTCTTTGTGTTATGATGTAGATGTTGACTAGAGTCCACGGTCACACAAGCGGCTCTGTTATATTTACTGTAGGTACAGCTGTGCTGTGGGCCAAATGCCAACATGGGCATGCTAACATGCTCACAGTGACAGTGCCAACATGTTTTGCGGGTATAATGTATAGCATGTTCCCCATCTTATGCTAATTAGAACTAATCACAACACAGCTGAGGCTGATAGGAATGTCTTTAGTTCTGCAAGTATTTAGTCATAAACCAAAATATTCAAAATGAAAAAGTTGACTTGATGAACAGATGAAAACTTGTGGATCACCAAACCTGTTAGGATTCATTTGCCGGGGATCACAAATGGCTGCACAAAATTGGCAATCTATCCAACAGACTGGACTAGACCAAAGTTGTAGTCAGGCAGAATATTTTCTGTATAACAGCTGTGAATTGCTGTAAACAGCACTTTTTCTCCATAGCTTTCTCATCATCCTCTAGAAACAGATGCCAAGGTCTGTCAAGATAGTCACCATTGGCAAAGATCCTCATTCAGCACCTATTCTGAATCATAGATCAGGCCACGTCTTGCTGGAATGGAACCTAATGGATTGTGGCAAAATAAATAAATAAGTAAATAATCTGTTTCTTTATTGTCTTTGTCAATATCTATGACAGCAGGCGGCAGAAAGATGAGATTCAAACTGAACATGCTGCAGTCAAGTTCAGATAAAACGTGGTGAATGTCCCTTTTCTTTCATTTGTTTTGTTTAATTCTCTTCAAGCCCAAGTTATTCACTCCTTTGAAAATGTAAACCAGCCCCTTGGTCAACCCACTTCACCCAGCAGGATCCAGTCCAAGCCTCTTTCCACACACAAGGGTCAGTGTGTCACATGTACTCTCTTTGCAACTAAACAGTTGAAATGTTGTTGTCATCATGCTTTTCCAAATTTTTTTAGATTTTTTTTGGCCACTTGGGGGCAGTAAGGTGATATTACCTAACAATTACCTATTTATAGCAGATACGGAGCAACATTAGTATTAATTTAGAGTTGTGTTTCTGGCCATCTGATTAATGTATGTCCAGTAATCACTCTCCTATTAACTTTGTTTCGGTCTCCACGAACTCCTGAGGAAAATCCTGGTTCTTTAGCTGCTAAATGCTCCACTGAGTCTCCAAGCTTGTTCCTTACTTTGTTTGTCCAACATTTGGTGCTGGGCAAGTAGTGTACAATGAATTTCTTCGGATGTTTTTCACTGAAAACAGCTGCCTGGCTGAAAGTGATGCCATGAGAGCAGTGGGAGTGAACCAGAACAGTAAAACAAAACCAAATAAACAGTGAGCAGAAAACACACTAAATGCTTGGTAGAACTCAGGGGAACTGCAGATTTGGGTGATAATTCTCATTGCAAGAGACCACTTTCACATATCATGTGTTAATTCCACTGCAAATTTTAAAATATTGATTGTAGTTGCTGGAAGTTACCTTAAAATCTGAAATGCTGAGAAATACTCAACAATCAGACAGTGGTGTACAAATTCTGTACACCACAGTCAGCACAAAATACCCAAGGGTCAAACCATACAGTCATTTACTGTACCCATCAATAGATTTTAGAGAGTTAATGGTACAGACAGACAGTGATGGAAATTTCTTTCCTAATGTCAGCAGTGATGTAGATTTCTGCTTTGCTTCCGGGCAAAACTCTGTACCAACATGGATCTCTGCTGCTGCTGTTGTTGTTGTTGTTGTTCAGATAGTAGTTGTTGTTGTAGCGGTGGAAATCACAGTTTTTATATCAGAGTGGTATGTCAAGTCTTGTGTTTCTCCAGAGTGGTGGTCCCTCATAAACTGGCTTAAATAATAAATACAGAGCTATAGGGGGGTCTTGACCCGGACATATTAAATATGCATAACCACAACACAGGAGTGAAGTACTGAGAATCACACACACACACACACACACACACACACACACACACACACACACACACACACTCTGTCTGTATTCAACAAAACACGCAGTCAAAGTCAAAGTCAGCAGCTCCCAAAAACACTTCTCACAGCGTGCACGTGTGAATATGTGCATGTGCATTGACTATGTGGCTCATCATTCTGCTGCTTTCTTTCTACTTCTCTCCATCTCTCTTTCTCTCAAACGAACTATTGATTACTATTTCTGTCCACCCATCTTTCTTTAGTCCTTCACCCCCTAAAAAACACCCACCACCCTTCTTCTCCTCTTCCCTCTTCTCCCTCTCTCTAACTCTGGTATTTCCCAGCGAAGCCCCCTTCCCCACCTCCCCTCGGTCACCCACCCACCCACCCCTCCTCCCTCCTTCCCTCTTCCTCTCCCACCCCTCTTTTCTCCCCCTCCTCTCCTCAGATGGATTCTTCAGTCAGCGGAGTGGAACTGGTGCGACTGCTGGAGAGATAGGCAGAGAGAGGCTGTGCTGAACAGACGCTGGGTCAGAACGCTCAGTTGCTTCAGACAATCACGGGGGAGCGAGAGATCAGACACAGGAAAAGAAACAGAGAGACAGAGAACACCACATAGACAGATAGATTGAAAATAGAGAAAAGGGAGTCAGAGACAGGGGAGGGAGGTAAATATGTGACAGGATGTGGTTTCCCTGAGCTTGCAGAACATCGGTATACAGGCATACTTTGAGCATGACCTAAACACACCAAGCTTACAAGTGTGTTTGAGCTCTGTTAGGTGGCGAGGGGGAAGACGAGGCAAACCGCTGGAGCTGCTGCTGCTGCTGTGCCTGTAGAGCCGACAGACGCTCTGGTTTCTCTGTTGCCTGCCAGAGGATTGTGTTTCGTTAAAGCCAGCCAGCTCCACAGCAACCTCAGTCAGCTTGTCGGACAGGATCTGAAGCCGTCCTCCATCCTCTCTTTGTGCTGGTCTGCTTCTAAGTAGAATGTGTTTCTCTGCTGGAATTTTTGGTCCTCTTGCTGCCTTCGAGTCCAAGCAGTGAACTTTTCAACGATATTGTGAAACAGGTAAGTTTGCTTTCTGTTTGCGTGAGAGCTCTTCAGCATGTGTATGAATTTGAACTTCCTAACAGATGTGTTTCTGTACTACCTGGACAGCAGCCACTGTAACCTTGGACTGCATGGTGGCAATTGTTTACCACAGATTCATTAGACAATGCCACAAGCCACAAGTTTGGCTTCTGTGTTCAACAAGAAGTTCTAAATCCACTGCTACCACATACACATGTTCACACATTCACTTGCTCACAAGCACACACACACACACACTCTGGCTGTGCCTCATGCACATCAATCGGTCTGGTTGTTTTGAAGTAACATGTGGGACGTATGGTACAGAATGCCAAAAATGTCTACCTGGATCCAATCACAGACCGAACCCTGACAGTGTTTCAAGATGTGACCGGCGTACAGTATCACACCACTCCCACTAGATACAGGGGAGTGTGTGATTTGTGAGCTACTGTACTGAAGGGTAAACGTGTGGGTTTCCCCTCTGTGTTTTTTTTCTGTTGAGCAGCATGCGTGCTGATATGTCCTTGTCTGTCGGTACAAGTGAATGTTTACATGCTTAGACTATGTGCTCCGGTACATGGGTTCATCCAAGCATGCGTGCGTGTAAGGAGGTTTAAAGGGAAAAACAAGTTGAGCGATGGCAGGAGGTGAAGGAAGGGCGGGGGGATGTCAGGGAGGAGGAAGACGAGGGCATGAGAGAAAGGAAAAGCCAGGGGAAGAGGAGAAAAGAACGTGTGTGTGTGTGTGTGTGTGTGTGTGTGTGTATGGAAGAGAGAGAAAAAGTGAGTGAGAGAGCTTCGTCTGACTGAACTGCGTTTAATTAGTTCCAGCTGGTGAGCTGTGGAGCGTCGGGCTGCGTTAACTCTGCAGTGTTGGTGGGTCAGGAGTTCTCTCTGTCTGAGTCTGTCTGTCTGTTACATTCACACAGGAAAACATACACAGATAAACACACATGCAAAAACATTAAAAAACAAAATCATCTAAAAGGCACACAACATATGGGCAGCATCACAAATGCAAACATTGAAACATGATATACACAATTTCACACACACAAAGACAAGCATAAACACAAACACAAAAAGACACAGACAACACATACATAGGCACACGTGTAGCTTCACAAACATTTAAAACAAAAAGACGACAGATGTAAAACGCATGACGTACAAGAACACATTTACACTCACTTGACTCACTGACAAAAGCGCACTATAAATACAGTGTACACACAAATGCACACATGCAAAGAGAAAAACCCGCCATGTGCCATATGTCAAGTGTGTACATCAAAGGGTAAATGTAGCAAAAACATGTAACATGCAATGAACACATGCAGTGCCACACGTGTGTACATAGGCACACACACACTTCTCCATAGAAAGCCTCCATCACAGAGCAGCTGGGCTATTGGAAATGTGCAAGTGATTGTGGTTTGGGCTTTGCTACGCTACAATGTCACGTTAAATCATTATGCAGGGCAAAAGGTGAAGAAACCATTATGTTAAAGGGTTAATGCGCCCAAATTATAAAAAACATGTTTTCTTACTTATCTCTAATTAATGCAGCCATGCAGATGCAGACTTTTGTGGTTTATTTTATATATATATTTATCTCTGTGATTTCTGCCTCCAATCCCAATACAATGGAGGTGTGTGACATTTAACTTGTGGTTATTTAAAAATGATGTACCACTATCTTACAAGGCATATATTAAAACTGTTTTTTAAGTTGTAACTAATGGCTTTATTAACGGTTAATAAATTGATCGATGAATTATAAGCCATTAATATGGGCAATATATCTGGCTGGTGTTTATCCTGGCTGAGTTCTCGCTTCAATGGATCGTTAGGTTGAAGTTATTAAAGAATAGGTTTTGCAAGTCTATCTTAATGCAATACTCACATGCCCATTTGTAATAATTCTTCCTGTCCATACTGGCTGTGAAGTGATTCTATAGTAATATAGGCGACTGTTCTTGTTCTGTCTAAAACTGCATTCTAAAGTTCAGCTGAAGATAATATGAGACTTCAGTGGTATTAGTTGGCCAAATCAAGTGGTTATCTTCCAAAGTTTCGGCTTTTTAGTGTGAAATTACTTCTTTTTGTTTCCCTATCAGTGTTTCTGTGCTGAACTGTAACAGATATAAGGAATTTTGTTAGATAACCACTTGACTTGGCTAGTACAGACTGCTGCAGTTCCTAAAATCTTCCTCTGTGGTCATGCAAGGAAGGAATCGCCTCATGAACACATGGACAGAAAGAATGATTACAGCAACTCTTTCAATGTACATATGGGACATAAGTACTGGTTGGGTTAGACTTGAAATATCAGGATCTTCAACATACAACTGCAGACTTAATGGATTATTAGAAAGAATCTTTTATCAATAATGTATTCACATTTAGAATTGCAAATGACTTTACTAACCTTTGGTGGCGGCTTATTGTGAAAAACTAACGACGCTTTATTAATGACTTTATTAACATTTGTTCCGCAGGATTGATGGTTTTTTAGAAAGTTAGACCCACTGACCTTTATTGCAGATTTATGACCCTTTATTTATGACTTATTAACATTTAACGAGAATATCTCAACCCCTTTGGCACATAAAAGTAACTGCTTTGCACAATTTGACTGGAGGCAAGTGAGAAAATGTTTACGATTTGGATGAACCAACCAGAGACTATTTTCTTGTAAATTCAACACGGAAACACATAAATCTGTCTGTTACAACACAGTAGCACTCACAGTGTTTTTGAGTTTTTCAGATGTTACTCATTTACTTTCTGAATCCTCACTTTAAGCTGTCAGTTTTTTCATCTGAGTCTGTGTTGATTTTCTTTCGCTCCAGTCTTTTAGCAAACATGTATTTTAATCAACTTATGTTTGCTATCTGATCCGGGCACAGTGAATCCCTCTGTGTGGTGTGAAATTTGATTAAGGTAATTGGCAAGCGTTGGCTTGTGTAAACCATTATGTGTACACCTCTCCACTCAGTATGTATAGACAAACACCAACAGACAGGCACAACAAAATACCAGAAAATTCTATACTCTATATATATACTCTACATAAAAGTTAGATATTTTAAAACAACCTTCACATCTAATTTCATGGTGCGCTTGTTTGATCCTGGAGTACAAGCTTCAGATTTGGGACATGATGAAATATAAACATATGAGGGATTTGATTCCAAAAGTACCTGGAGGGTGACCTCTACTCTTCAAAAATCAAAGAAAAATTAGATAACTACAACATCTACGTCTATGGTTGACATAGATGCATTTTGGATCAAAGCTTTGGTGTCATTTGTTTAACATAAATCAGATTTGTGATCCTTATTGGCTGTAATATTACATTTAGGCAGTAAACATGGCTGAATGGATGAAGCATGAGTTTTGCAGTTCTCATGACATGGTGTCATCTTGATTGCAGCCTCTGCTGCAAGTCTCACATCTTTTCCCTTCTGAAATGTTCAATTACAAGATCTCGGGCAAAGATTATTTTCCCTCACTCCCCTGCTAGGTGACAGTGATCAGGCTTTTGAAGATACTAAGTTATTCAAGCCTTTGGCATTGCCCTAGACCTGAGACAGCATATTAGGATGAATCCTCCAGGCTAGATGGAAAACAAAAGAGCCAATATTCAGCCAGTTGTGTAGTAGCTCAGCCTCGAACGAAAGAAGAAGAAAAAAACGTATCCCCCTTGATATTTCTATAAGGCAAATTGACTCCTGTTGTAATGGGTGGTCAAGAAAATTGCAGCAGTATTGATTGGGTAATGTTCAACACGGACATGTCGATAGGGTGTCTGAAAACCTAAGAACTTGGCTTCGGCTGGCTTTAATAAAAAATGACCTGCCTGGAGCAAGTTCACAGAAAGCAATGAGTCACTCACGGGAAATCTCTTCAAACCCCTCCGCGTTTTAGAGAAAAAATAGTAAAGGGGGCAACCAAAGAATTTTCTATTTTTAACCAAGTATTTTTCTCTCCTGCTTTCTTCAAATGACAAACATCTCTTTTTTAACCTTATGTCTTTGGCTGCAGCTGGAAAACAACCAACATACAGTAGTGTTTGTGCAGGTTGAGTCAAGATAATGTTTTGCTTTTCACTTGTGAGAACTGTACAAATCCCAGCGTGGATAGATTATGCATAACAAATCAAACTCATGACTGTCAAAGACATGCAGAGAGGAGAGGAGGAGAACAGGAGGACACAAGTGTTTGCTCCTGCACTTGGAGGAGAGGAAAGAGGGGGGCGATCCTTGTGATGAAGAGCGGCGAGAGCTTATAGCGACCAGGAAAAGACAAGAAAGAGAGAAACTGACAATGAAAGAGAGAGAGGTTGAGAAAGATTGGTGCCTATTATTCTCCTGAGCAGAGAATAGTCATAGAGGGGTTGGTTCCCATGGCAATAGCTCCCTTGTTGCGTGTATGTGTATTTGTGTGTGCGTGGACGGACTGTAACCGGGCCTTGAGACTGTAGGGAGATGAGGTTGGCCGAGGCTGTGGCGAACCGAGGAGCTACCCGAAATCCTTGAAACGGCGGAGAATCTCAGACAGACACTATTGTTCACTCGCCTGTTCTCTCCACCTCACTCATCACCCCTCATCTTCCATTTTTTTCTCCTGCGTGCTTGCCTTTATATATCGTCCTTGGGCATTCAAACCAAATATTACAAATTCAGTGAGTTGAAAAAGCAATTCCACCTTCGGCATCCATGGCCTCCTTGTGGAGAGTACGGAAGGGTTTAGATGGGGAGATGTCTGTGTTTAAGTTTTTCTGTAGTGTCTTCAATGTAAAAGTGTTTCGGAGGCTTCTCATGTTATAATGCATTCACTCACAATACTTTATAAGCTTTGTGTGCTTCGAGGCCTTTTTACAGTAAATTATGATTTAAAATTTTTTCCCTGTGTGCAATTCCTAGAGGATGTAACAAAACTTTCCTCAGACTGTTTTAAACAATTGCCTATTCTGATTTATAGCATACT